TTACACGATGCATCGGGAGCCCCGTGACCACGTGGAGCCGTCTTGGGGCGGTCTTGGAGCGTCTTGTACGCATGTTGGGAGCTATATTGAGTCATCGAGGGCTATCTTGAGCGATCTTGGAGGTCACCTTGAGCTCTCTTGGGCCCTCTTGGCGCCATCTTAGGCCATCTTCGGTGACCCAACGACCCGCGAAACGCCCCTTCCAGGCCCAGGGGGAGGGGGTAGGGGGAGGGGTAAACCCCTCCCCCAAGGGGAAGAAGGGGGTTGAGGACAGAGAGGGCTCTTTAAACCACTCACGCCCAAAGGGCTGGTGGGATTTTTATATTGTGTTTTGGCCATTGCGTGCGCTGCAGAGATGTGTGTGCATGGTGAAGGCCACGTTGGCTTTTCTCGGGCCGACGTCTCCATGTTGCGACGACGTCTCAGGCGAAACGGCCCCAAGCGGCCCTGCAAAGGCACCAAGGGTGAAGCAGAATGGCTTCCCCATCCTTCCCACAGTCTATCTTAGGAGTTCTCCGGAAACAAACGAACTGTCTATCTGTCGCGGCCTCGCCGGTCGCTGTCGCACCGTCGGCGAACGTGCTTGGTTACGTACTGTGCATCTGTCTGGCCACCCGCCGTCGCCGTCGCACCGAACAAATTGCGCGCCACACATGGTTGAACTTCACTGTCCACGGCGCGCCCATCGCACATCGCACAACTTTTTACAATAACTTCTCAATAGTTCCGTGCGGCGGACAGATCGTTTTTGCGCATCTGTCCCCGACGGACCCGTCGCCGCCGCATCGGGGTGATCATCGTTGGGGGAACCCCCTCATTAGTAGTAGTAGTAGTAGTAACATTAGTGTGTGTTATGATAAGTTTTCGTAGTAGCAAGGATATTGATACTGTTGTTATTGTTGTTGTGGTTGTTGTTGTAGTTATAATTGTTGTTTATCCACCTCTTCCCCCTTCTCCTCCACTCCCTTTTCCGCTTCCTTTTCCTTCTCCTTGTTTTTCTCCTCTTTCCTCCCTCTCCTCCTAATCCCTCACCCCATCGGAGCAGATTCTTCGGAGGCTTGTCATGCTGCTGCGCAGTCACCGCCTTTGACATGCCGCAGCCAACAAAAGTTTGGCCTCGAAGTACTTCCCCCCGAAGACCGCCTGAGCCATGGGCTGATCGGCAAAGTCGGTCCCCGACTTGGTCACGGAGTAGGTCCCCGATGGATCATCTCCTGTCGCTGTGCCTCCTCCTCCTCCTCCTCGATGCGCCCCCTCGATGCTCCTCCTCGATCCTCCTGGGTCCTCGTCCGACTCGATGCTCCTCCTCGATTCTCCTCCTCCTCCGCCTCCTCCTCGATGCTCGATCCTTGAACCTCGGTCCTCGATCCTCCTTCTGGGGGGGGAGGGGCCTGCGCGGCGCGCCCTGTGGGGGCGGGCGCGTGCGGCCAGGCGCGGTCCCTGCCGAGCAAGAGCCCGGCCAGCATCCTGGCGACATCATGTCTCATGCGTTCCTCCTCCTCCTCCTCCTCCTCCTCCTCCTCCTCCTCCTCCTAAAGTCGAGCATCTGTATAACCGTCCCCCCGAGAAGCTGGGCCAGCGTAGTAAGCCTCCTGGAAGCTGGCCCAGGTTTCTTACATGGTAATTTCTTGACCATATTTTCGGCTGTATTTCCTCTCCTTCCGTATCCGTTTTGGCTTCAGGGTTTCAGCTGGCACCTCCGTAACTCCTGGGCGCGTCCTGGGCACCGCGCCAGCGTCGCCACACGTCATGTCGTTCAAGCCGCAGATCGTGGTGGACTGCCGTGGCCACCTGCTCGGCCGCCTGGCATCCATCGTCGCCAAGGAGCTCCTGAACGGGCAGCAGGTGGTGTGCGTCCGCACCGAGGACATCAACATCTCTGGTTCGCTCTACCGCAACAAGCTCAAGTACGCGGCGTTCAAGTGCAAGAAGATGAACTCGAACCCAAAGCGGGGACCTCTGCACTACCGTGCGCCGGCCAAGATCTTGTGGCGTACCATCCGCGGCATGGTCCCCCACAAGACGCCCCGTGGGGCTGCTGCGCTGGACAGGCTGAAGGCATTCGAGGGAATCCCGCACCCGTACGATCGCAAGAAGCGCATGGTGATGCCGGCAGCTCTGAAGGTGCTTCGCCTGAAGAAGGAGCGCAAGTTCTGCAAGCTTGGCGACCTCTCCCAGCAGGTCGGTTGGAAGCACCAGGACCTGGTGGAGCGCCTGGAGAAGCAGCGGAAGGTCAAGAGCGAGGTATTTTACAAGAAGAAGCTGGCCACCAAGACGAAGAAGCAGGCTGCCACGAAGGGCGCGGCGGTCGACGTTGCGGACAAGAAGGTCTTGGAGGAGGCGGGCTTCGCGTGAGTGCTTCGCGACTGTCCAACTCATCGGCCACGAGTGAATGATACAGAGGACCTGGCGACACGCACAAATGCAGCAGCGAGGTCGAGGATTGCAGATCGGAGTGGCTCTTCCTCTGTCCTCCTTCCTGTGCTCACCCATCTCCTCCCTAAAGGCTCATCGGTCCCTCCCCCGTCCCCCATCCTTCCTCTGCCTCCTCCTCTCCCCCCCCTCCTCCTCGAACCTGCCGCTTTGGAGGCAGGCCAACCCAGCATCCAGCATCACCCCCCCCCTCCCCCCCCCCCCCCCCCCCCCCTCCCCCTCCTCCCTCTCCACTCTTCTTCCAGCGCGCGCAGAGCATGGAACCCCTGGCGCGCCCCTGGGACGCCAGGGCATGCACTTGCTCGTCGTGGAATCGGTCTGGCGTGTGGGCGGGCGGGGGCCCCCCGAGGCCAACTTCCGTCTTGGCGGCAGGGCCCTCCAGGAGCGCGCTGGGCTTCTTACTCCGGGTCATCCAAGAGGCGCGAAGACAGTCGCTCTTCGCGCGTCGCAGTTCGGATCGGGGAGGCGCCATTCTGCAGGGCGCGGCGCGGGGGCGCGATTCGCGAAGTTTGATGGCCGAGCTTCTTCTCAGTATTCAAATTTACAGTGCTAGGTGCTAGTCTCATTACTCGGATGCGTCTTCTACTACTTCCCCAGTCAGGCTTTGCCAAGGGGCTCTTACTTGTGTGTGAAGGAACCAGTGGGTGAGGGACGCGGTCGCGCTGCGGTTCCTCCGAGTTCCCCGGTCCTGTTTCCTTACAAGGGGGGTCCCCCGGGGTTTCTCAGTCTTGTTTCCTGAGAAGGGGGGTGACTGGTCTTGTTTGTTTAACAGTGGCATTCCTCGGGGTTCCCTGGATTCCCTGGATCCCTTTGGTCTGGCTTCCTTATTGTTTTTGAATGGCCAGCCTTCCTTGCGTTCCTCGGGGTTCCCCGGATTCCCCGGGGGTCGCTGTTCTTGTTGTCCTATTGTGGATGTTTGAAGCAATTCCAAGCAACGCGAATCGATGCCAAGCAATGGCAAGCAATGCCATGTAATGCAAATCAATACAACGCAATGCCGAGCCGTGCTCAGCAGTGCCAAGGAATGCGGAGAAATCTCAAGCGATGCCAAGCCATACTAAGCAATGCCAAGCAACGCCAAGCAATGCCAACCAACGCAGTCAATGCAAAACAACGCCAAACAGTGCAAAGCGAAGCAATACAAAGCAATGCCAATGCAATGCAAATCAGTGCACATCAATGCAATACACTGCCAAGCAATGCCAAGCAATACCAAGCAACGCAATTAAAGGCAGCTATCTACCAAGCGCTGTTAGTCGATGCTAAGCAATGCCAAGCAACGCCAAGCAACTCAAAGCAACGCAATGTAATGTCAAGCAAGCCAATGCAATGCCCAGCATTGCCACGCAATGCCAAGCAATGCCGTCTAGGAAGTGTTCCTCTAATGGGGTTGCGCGGGGCTCATCATGGCTTCGTAGGACTAGTGCGATTCGCATGTGTATTCCTACTCTTCTTAGCCTCGTCATGAGCAAAGAACAGCGGCATTAGCATAAACGTTCGGAGGTCCGTGCGGAGTTCTTGGATTGGCGTTGGAGTCCCTCCCTGGCGCGCGGAGTGCGCCAGGGGCGGCGCCTGGTGGGCACAGCGCCGATCCAAGGAATCCGCGCGGACCACCTGACGTTTGTGCGTCATGCAGTTTTTTTCGTTGTCGAACTCACACAGGGGGACTCTTCGAAAGTTACCGCGTCGGGGTCTCTGTCGGGCATTGCAGTGCAATCTATATCGGGGAGGGTTGGGTTCGCCTGGTCGCTGGTTAAAGTGCCCGTGAGTGGAGAACTCATCTGGGGAGCGCTGAGGCTGATCCCATGTGTGTGCGCGTTTGCCGGGGATCAGCCGCGTGCCTGGTTCGTGGGCGCCAATTTGCACATCGCGGGCGCCGCATAGGTTGCGTATCATAACTTGCGCCACATTGCCTGTGTCACATAGCTTGCACCTCTTGGTGCGCAACGTAGCTTCCAACACTTAGTTTGCACCACGAAGCTTGCGCCAACACGATTGTATCACGTAGCTTGCACCATATAGCTCGCACCTCGTAGTTTGCGCCACGCATATTGCACCGCGTAGCCTACACCACATGGCGTGCGCGTCCAGCATGCAAGAACTCATTGTTTGGGGTTCGCGAGCGCGAGCATTAACACATTTTACGAGGTTGTCGGACATCCCGCCGCCCATAACACGCTGTCCCGCAACCCTTCGCGGTAGCCGTGCCTACCCTGCCACGTTTCCAGCCCCTCCGAGACACGCCATAGAACCACACGCACCAAAGGGGGGGGGGGGGCATCAGACGCCGACACCCCACTGCTTTGGGAACGGGGTAGTTTTGTTGCAGGGGCGGCAAGGTCTGAATCCCGCGAAAGGACTTCGGGAGCCCTGCGATGGAAAGAGTGGACAGCGTGAGCATCAGCGGGCCGAGAAAGGGCGAAGGTAACCGCGCGTCGTGCACCGCGGCGCGCGGTGGGCGACTTCAGGCAGACTAAATTCATCGCCCAGGGGCAATCTGGAGCGCTCTGGAATAGCCGCGGCGCCCGACACATACTCCAGGCCCGCCGACTGCACGTACATGTGGGGCGATCGTGGGGTGCTCGCTTCGTCCCCGAAGCGTTCCTCCTCTTCCTCCTCCTCCTCCTCGTCCTCCTCCTCCTCCCTCCTCTTCCCACTCCTCCTCCTTCTCCTCCTCCTCCTCCTCCTTCTCCTCCTCCTCCTCCCTCCTCTTCCCACTCCTCCTCCTTTTCCTCCTCCTCCTCCTCCTCCTCCTCCTCCATTCCTGATCCTTCTAGATGATTTCTCCCTGTCGCACCCCGAAGCCAGCTTTTAGGGCGGACCGGGCGTTTCGCCTGAGATTTCCTCACCATTTATGACTCTGAAGCATAACAAGTGGTAACAGCTTCACAGATGGAGGGCGGGCCGTTTTCAAAATGTGGCTCTCGCCGTAGCGCCGCGCACATTCGTTTTCAATCTTTCGCAAGAGTTTCACGAATTGAAGGCGGGTGGTTTTCAAAATGTGGTTCTCGCTTTAGCGCCGCGTACATTTGTTTTCAAACATTTGCAATCGCTTCACAGATGGAGGGCTGGCCGTTTTCAAAATGCGGCTCTCGCCGTAGCGCCGCGCACATTCGTTTTCAATATTTGCAAGAGTTCCACAGATTGACGGCGGGTGGTTTCCTCCTCCTCTTCCTCCTCCTCCTCCTCATCATCATCATCCCCATCCTCCGTCTAGGTGGCCCGTGGCGGGGCCGCAGCCGTCTTGCCCCGCGGCGGGGCTCGGGCGACCCCCGCGCGATGGCCCCCAGCGCCGCCCCTCGGGCGGGTTCGAACGGCGGACCACAACGGCGCGCGGCATGTCTCGCCTGCCTGGCATCGGCTGCTTCGCCGACGCCGGGCGCGGCCGCGCAAGCAGCTGCAGGTGCTGCAGCAGAACCTCCTGCTGGACCAGCACCACGGCAGCCAGCTGCCGCTCGCACCCATGCATGAGGCGAAGGCGGGACCAGATGGCAAAGGGAAGCCGCTGCCGGAAGGAGGCCCAGCAGGCGGCGGCGCCACGCAGGATGGTCGCGCGGGCACATGCTCCCACTGCGGGTGCAAGCGTAACAGGGTTTGGTGGAGCTGGTGTGAGCACTGCAGCAATGAGATCGTGCCCACCAGGCCTCCGCCGCGCAGGGGGCGCTTCAGTGGCCGTGGCACGGCTCCCTGGCACGGCGGTCTTCTTGCTCCTGGCGCCGGTGAGCCACGCCTTCGGTCCAGCCCCCCCGTGCGCGCCGCACTCCAGGACTAGGGCCCAGCCACACGAGCAGGAAAGGTGGCAGACCCTGGGGAGGACAAGCTGGTGCAGCTCATCGGCGTCTTGCGGCCCTCCAAGGAGGACGAGAGGGTGCAGAAGTACCAGTTGCAACTGGACATGCTGCGCGAGGCCAGGCGCGCGAGGCCAGGCGCCTGCGCGAGGCCAGGCGCTTCGGTAGACGCGGCCAAACTGGTCAGAGACGAGGCCGCGGCCGAACTCCAGGAGGCTGTGGGCCAGGTGGAGCACCTCCAGGAGCAGCTGGGGCTGGCCAAGCAGCGCGCGGTTCGGGCGACGACCAGGCTGGACGAAACCACGAAGGCCCACACCAACGCCGTCCAGACGCTTGCCAGGCAGGTGGTCCCACAGCAGCATGCAGCCGAGCCAACGGTGCCGAAGATCTCCATTGCTTTGCTCCTCTCGACGGCCAGGACGTCGAGCTCGACGACGACGAGCTTTTCGGGCTCGAAGCTTTGGAGGAGCTGGAGGGACACAAGATCAAGGAGTCTGACGAAGAAGTGGCAGCGAGCAGGAAGCAGGCAATCCAGTCGACGTTTAGGGAGCTTGCCACCACGGCGTTCGGCCAGTTCGCCACAGAGGCGCGCGAGCTCCAGCGCCAGCAAAAGGCATCCAAGGAGCGCCTCCAGAAGAAGCGCACGACGGAGGCGGACGAAGCAGCGCCATGCAGGCAGCCTGACCCCGCGGAAGCCCCAGCCGCGGCCGCTGGCTTGTCTGCACCAGCAGCTGCCGCGGCCACCGCGCAGGCCGCAGGTCAGCCTCAGGGGAGCGCCACCGATGTCTTGGCGGACGCCAAGGCCATGATGACGGCCGCTGAGGGTGCTGTGCGCGGCGTGGAGCAGCCTGGCCAGCAGCGGCTTCCACGCTCATCATTTTGACGGCCACTCCGTTGAGCGCCGTAGAAGAGGCCCCACTATATCCAGCCGTCCGTGTTGACACTGGCGATGGGCAGTGTGACGGGACAGAGGTTGGCAATGCCTTCGACGAGCTCGCACCTCGGGCCTGCGGGGGGCAGGAGAGGAGCGAGTTCAACTTCGTGTATCTCTGGATGCACGACCTCGGGGCGAGGCCTGCATCAGCAAAAAAAGTTGGATGGAGTGGCGCGCGCGTGCCATACTTGGAGGAGTCGATTGGCAGGCCCGAAGGCACGCGGCTGCGCAATCACCTCCTGCGGCAGCGACATTCCGGCATGACGCTACGGCGAATCGCAGGGCTCCCATGCGATGACGCCTGGCAGCGAGGACGCGAGGGCCATGCGTCCCCCGGGTGGATGC